TACGACACACCTGCCACATACTTCTTACTTGTGCGTCGCATGGTGCTCTCAAAACTCTCGAATGATACTGTTTACAGGTAAGAACAATCATTCGGATGATAAGAATTTCTTTTGGAGGTGGACGCATAATGGTGCAACGTTCGGTCTGTCTATCAAAATCACGTTCTGTAGATCGACCCCGCCTCCAATATTTACATGTATACATGTTCATACATAGTTATAAAGATATGGATGTGTCAACCCAGATACCTTCCGACAGACCATCTAAGTATGCAGACAGATCGGGCGAACTACTGCTCGGTCATCATTCGTGTACACACATATGTGTGTACGTAGGTGTGTACATATCTATATATACCTATATTTATATACATGCATATGTATATATATATATATATATATATGCATGTATATATATATATGTATACATCGACCGATGCCCCATTCGATCCGTTTACTGGTCTCAATACAAAACTTTCGCTCCAGCAACATATGATCGGTCTCACTGATGATCGGCCGATCGCAGTACTTGTCGACTTCACAACATCCTTCTGATATAGGTATCGTTCGATCTACATATACATATACATTATGGCGCCAACCAGGCGGGCCAGCTATTCATAAGTCCCACAATCTGTCTACAAATCACTTCATCCATTCTTAGATCTCGCTATGGCTGGATGTGTCGGTATTCGTACCCATCAGCCGCACTGTCGACATATCTGCCGATCTCATGTTCTAATCCTGTCGAGCTATTGATTGGTCACACGATCTGCCTATCGGATCGTCTCCATGTTCCACATCCTGGTCTCACTATCAATCCACCCGGCTCGCAGAAAATAAACGGACATCCGCAGAACAACTACGGGACAACCGCGGGACAAGTACGTGACAACCATCGGGACAACCACAAAACTACCATTGGGACAACCATCGGGACAACCACGGGACAACCTCCAAGATCATCGCGGAACGATTATCGGGACAACCACGGGGCAGCCACGACGGGCCAATCTTTCAATCAGCAGCGCCGGCGGGTCGCGAGCGCGATGGTCGAGACCGCCGGGGCGCGCCGAGGGCGGGGCGCACGGGGGGAGTGGAAAAGCAGAGAGGCGGCCGCGGAGGAGGGAGGGAGGAGGATACCCGACCGTCGCGAGTCGGTGGGCGAGGGGCGCGCAGAGGGAGCCGAAGACGGTGTGCGTCAGCGTCTTCGGCGGGGCAAGCACGGGGCAGCCCAGGGACCGCCCCGCCCGTGGCCGGGAGGAGAGTGAGGAAGAGTCTGAAGGCAGCCTGCCCCGACCTGGGCCAGGATCCGCCCGGCCCGCGCGCAGCTCCGCCTCGCCCGCGCGCCACGCGCGGCACGGACCGAAACCGCTTTCCAGGTAGGGGGGGCTCCACTCTGCCTCGACTCGCTGGCGGCCACGGCGGCGGCGGGAACGGCGGGTGGCGGCGACGGCCACGGCGACCGCGATGACGGCCGTGGCGGCGCAGGGCGTCGAGCTGCTGGGGGAGGCCGCGGGTCCCGAGGCCTTCGCCGCACGTGCCTCCAATCTGTAGCCGGGATGGAGGCTCCGTGCGTGCTGCATGCTGGTGGAATGCTTACCGCGTGCCTGCTGGCAGCCATCCGTGTGTGCTGAGCTCTCGGTGGTGCTTGCCGGATGCTCGCTGGATGGTTTCTGGCGTGCTCGCCACACGGACGCTGCGTGTTTGCTGAGGTCGTTTGGAGTCCGTGCTGCCTTCGCGTCGAGGTCCTGCTGGATGCCGACGGACTGCGAGCTGAAGGCCCGCCACCGAGAGCCTACATCGAGGCTGCCAGGGGCCGCCCGAACCCGCGGGCCCGAACACCACAACGACCAAGCGAGCACCCGAGAAACTGGTCATCGCCGCCAGAGCAGAAGCCGCCCCAGGGAAAACGTTCGATGAAGGCGCGGACCCCCCGCGAAAAGCAGGCCAAAACGCCAGAGCCCGTTCGAGGCGAGCGCACTCTGGGGGGAAGCGCATGCAGGCAGTGCAGAGAAGCAGCTTCTGGGCGCCATGGCGCAGGCCAACGCTTGACGCTTCGCGTGTCCCCACCGGTGCATCCAGAAACGACTCCTCGGCGGGGTACCGCGTGCAGAGAGGCCAAACTGAGGCCCTCGTGTGAGCCTCAGGTGGTCCGGTCGGAGCCGTCTGGGAAGGCTTGCAAAAATTGCAATAGTTTGCAGAATCGTTTGCCCAGGTCCTTGCAGGGTCGGTTTGCGCCGGGTGCTGGGAGAGGTGGCCCTGGCCCAAGGTCTCTCCAGCTCTTCGCGCCAGTGTGGACCTCGTGGGGGCACTCTGGAAGCCGCCTGGGCCTCCCTGGAGATCCTGAGGACACCTTGGGCCAGGGACACTTCTGGCAACTCCCGGTTGCAGGGTTTTGCGGGGCGTGGGGCGATGCCACCTGGGAGAGGGTAGCGAGAGGGGTGACTGTGTGGGTTTGGAGGAGGCGTGCGCCCTCAGCCACCTCTGCCAAGAGGGCTTGTGGTTTGTGCACTCCGAAACCAAGCTGGTTCTCGCCTCTCAGGACTTTCGTGCCGCATCCCACCCGAAGTGGCTCTGCAGAGGACGATCGCCCGCCCGCACCGGCTTCCGCTGGCGGTCGCCCGCCGCCGAGTATCGGTGCCCCTCAAGTGGGCGCCGAAATCTCCGAATGGGGCCTCCCCCACTGGCGGATTTCTCGGGCGGGTAGCCGCCAACGACCTTCGGGACCCTTCTGGCCGCTGCCGAAGCCACAACGAAACGACGGTGCCAGCCCCCCACACAGAGTAGGTGCCGCAATCATTGTTCTGTCTTATGGGCCGAGGGCGCCGACATACCGTACCGACAAAAATCATAGCAGCCTTCCAATGCCGCGGCAACTCTGCTCCCGTGCGGCGCGTCCCAACCGACTGGACTCATCTCGCCTATGGGGAGCCTGCTACTGAGGTCTGCGGCCTGCGTCCAAATCGATCTTCAGGGGCTCTGGTTGCCGTGCCCTCAGGGTGCACACAGGCGCTGGCCGAAAAAGCTACATCGCTGCATGATGAAACAAATGTGTCTTTTCAAGGGAGTGCGTTGATCAAGGCACCACAATGAGGGGAACGTCTACCAATCATAATGGAGAAAGGCTGAAGACGTCGAAGCGAAACATAGGCGAAATGAAGCCCGCGTCCTCGAAGTACGGAGTGACCTTCAACAACTACTCTACTTGCCAATTCCTTCATCCTTGCATCAACTCCTTCTCCCTTCTGGATTCACCACAGACTGCGCATGCCACGACTGTTCTCGAAAAGCTGACCACACGTACACATTGGCCGCTTCCTCTGCCTCACACGCGCTTCTCCATACAGCGTCTTCGCATTGTCCTTGGCATCCTCCTGAAGATCATTCCCCTAAATCGGCGTGCCCGTGGTCCAGCTGACATAAGGGGGCCCAAGGACACACAAATAAATACACACAAATAAAAATATCCCCCATATTGTCCCATATTTTCTGGGTTTTTGTCTTCCCACCCACTTCCCATATTTTCCCATATTTTCTGGGGAATCGCCGATTAATTGTGTCTGTGCGTTTCTTTCCCTCCTGATGACAGTTCTCTTGCGTCCCTTTCCACCAGTGCTTACGTCACCGCTCGACCATGCAGTCCGCCCGCCACTCTGCCATCTGCTCCAGCTCTCGGAGCCCGCTCCCCTCGCTTCCCGCAGCGCGAGCCAGCCAGTGCCGCCAGTGTTGCGTCCGTGGCAGCTGCAGGAACAGTTCGGGAAACAGGCGCGACCTCGCGTGCGGAATGACTCGGGTCGGGCGAAAGGGGGGGATAGCAAAGGGGGGGGTTTGAGAATCAGCTCACGTAGCTGATTTTCCCGGCGCCTCCTTGCGCCGGAGGCGGCTATCGAGGAATGGGCCCCTCGGTGAGGCCGAATCCAGCTGCATGCAGCAAATTTCGTACCCCCCCCCTTTCCCAATCCCCCCCTTTCGTCCGGCCCGAATGACGATCGACGGCGTGCCCTGCCGTGCGATATACTCAGAGGCGCCCCGAGGAGAGGTGCCCTGGACCCCTGGGGGCCTTCCTGAGAACCTGGCGTCGGGGAGCCCGCGGGCAGGGCGTGCGGACCCGGGGCCTCCGGAGGGCCTCCTCCTCGCCTCGAGCCCGCCTCCGCCTTCGGGGCGGGCGCCGCGGAGAGTGGCAGCGGCACGGCGCCACGGCCCGGCGGAGAGGGCCGGGGGAGCCAACGGCGGCTGCCCCGCCCTGCCCCTCTCTCCAAAGATCAAAGGGGCCCCAGGACACACCAAGAAATACACACAAATAAAAAGATATTCCTCATGTTTTCCCATATGTTCTGGGTCTTCGTCTGCCCCCCCACTTCCCATATTTTCCCATGTTTTCTGGGGGGTCGACGATTAATTGTGTCTGTGTGTTTTTTCCCTCCTGAAAAGAACCGGTCCTCGGACCCCTTTCGGGAGTGCGTCCGAATCGGTGTGTCTCCAGGCGGGTCCAGTCGTGGCCGAGAGAGGCCTCCAGGAGGCCCAACCCCGGGGATCCCAAGCCGCGAGAAGCTGCAACATGGCCGAGCAAGGAGCCCCACCGGATCCCCGGACCCAATCCTTCTGCGCCATGCTCAGAGGCCTCCTTGATTGGGTCCGAGTAGATGAGGTCGGAAGATTTCGCCGCATCGCCGATACATCGGCGATGCATCGCCGATGCATCGGCGATGCATCCGCGATGCACTGGCGACATTGGCGGTGCATCGGCGACGCCGGCGTGGAGAAAGTTGGGCCCCACATCGAGCCGCATCGCCGACGCATCGCCGATGCTTCGGCGATGCGGCCCGATCCTCCGGCCCCATCTGCTCCGACCCCGTCGAGGAGGCCTAGAGTGTTTCGAGCCGGATCGACCCGTGGGGGCCCCCCGGGGGGCCCGAAGCAGGGGCGAGCTCGCCCACCGCGAGCAGAAGCTGCGAGGGCCCAGATCTCTCGGAGGAGCGGGGCGCACATATAGAGCCTTAGAAGGGCCGCCGGTGTCTCGATCCGCCCCCCCGGCCGGGGGCTGCCAGAAGTGAGGGGCAACGAGGGGGGCAACGAGAGGAGGAGGAGGAGGAGGAGGAGGAGGAGGAGGAGGAGGAGGAGGAGGAGGAGGAGGAGGAGGAGGAGTCCCAGGGGAACGAACAATGCCATAGACATAAAAACTCGGAGATTCCGCGCGGACTTCTCGGATCGGCGCTGGACCCCCCTGGCGGCGCCTCCGGCGCCGCCCCCGGGAACAAGCAGTGACACAAACATAAGAGCTCAGAGGTCCGCGCGGATTCCTCGGATCCGCGCTGGACCCCCCCTCCCTGGCGCGCGGAGCGCGCCTGGGGCGGCGCTGGAAGCGCCGCCAGGGGGCTCCAGCGCCGATCCGAGAAGTCCGCGCGGTCCCCAAAGTTTTTGTTATGGTTGTGTCACTGTTTGTTTGTTATGGTTGTGTCACTGTTTGTTCCCCTACCTCTGGCAACACCCGACCCTTGGCGGCGCGCAGAGGGGGTATGGGGGGAGGGGAGAGACGGCTTCTTAGAAGCACCCCTGCTTCCCAGAGGGCGCGAGCCTTGTCTGCAGATGCGAGGCCGCCGCCCTCTAAGAGCCAGCCTCCCTCTAAGAAGCCTCCCCCCTCCCCCTATGCCCCCCCCTCTGCGCGCCGCCAATTTGGACGCCCGACATGGGTACCGAAAGAATGGGTACAATGCCCAACAGCAAATGTTGCCCCAAACCAACAGCGGCCGCTGTTGGGCGGGCGGCCTCCTGTCTCGAATGGACACAGGCCGCGGCGGCGTGGAAGGCGAGTCCTGTTCAAAATGAACAGGAACTGCTGTTGGGCATCGTACCCATTCTTTCCGTACCCATTTCGGGCGTCCAGAGCCAAGACCCTCTGCGACACGAGCACGAGGCCCGGCATGGCACCGCGCGCGCGCTGCGCCTCACGCCTCCGTGGCGCCCTCGGCCGCGTCCTGAGGCCGGCCAGCGAGGGAGGCGCGGGAGGGGCGGCGGGTGCTCGGCCGTGGGGCCTCCCTGTGGAGCCGCTCGCTCCACTCGTGCGTCGATGCTGCGTCAGACCCAGACATGAGGTAGGGAGGCACCAACTATATACCAACACCGATCCCGGCCAGGATCAACCTGGGCCCAGGATCGGTGTATACGCCCTCCTGCCATGGGCAGGATGCATATACACCGATCCTGGGCCTAGGATCGGCCTGGGCTGGATCGGTGTAGGTGTATAGTTGGTGCCCTCCGAATGAGGAGGCATCTCCTGGGAGGCTTTCGTCGGATAAATCAGAAAGGATCAAGCCCCATTGGGGGGCTGTGTATGCTGGAGTGGGCCGCGGATTCAGCAGGATTGAGCGGGATTGAGCCGGATTAAGCCGGATCTCGGACCAGGGCAAAAACAGAATTTGACCTCCCAGAAGTTGCATCCGAGCAGACATGCTCGCGTCGTGGAGCCAAAACACGGCAAGGAACGTTTCGCCATCCTCGGCCTCTGGGGGCCTTCGCCGGGCCCCAAGACCATCAACACAAGTAACTACTCGGGATGAGAAGCTGCCGGGGAAAGGGTCGGGATTCCAGGGGAGCGCGTATTGAAACAGTCAGGGCATCGCATGTCTGGGGACGTCTGTCGACTTGAGACGAGCTTGAGCTGAGCTTGAGCTGAACTTGAGTTGAGCTAGGGTCGCTCAAGAGTCGAGCTAGGCTCGAACCAGAATCGAACATGCCCGTCTAAGGCCAGGAACTTTTGCGTAGCGTGTTGCGGCGGCGGCCACGGCGACACGCTATTGTTTGCGAGCTGGTATCGTGTCGCTTCGCTCCGCAGGGGGGGAGGCTAGGAAACGGGACGATGAGGCCTGGGAGTTGGGAAGTGGTTAGCGTGCCGGGGCAATGAGGCTTGGGAATTGGGTCGTCGCCGCCGACGTCGTCGTCTTCGCCTGTCGTTCCCTCATCTTGCCGCTGGGCACCGCTGCGATGGTGAAACAAAAAGTCGGGCAGAACCGTGGTGGGCCAGAACCGGCGGCGCGGCACTCTACACAATAGTTCCCGACCACACTCGGACCCACTGAAGTTGCCCCCCTGGCTTTCGTGCGATGATTCGGGTCTCTGGCGCCGTTCTGAACGATCTGGGCACCCCTGGCACAACCTCGGAGAGGCGCAGCTGCCAGAAAGCAACCTGGGGCTGGAAAACCGTAGAGAATCGACGAAACCACCCGAAAACCTCGAACCTAGAGCCCGACCCCAGGTGGCCCAAACGAACATCCGACGGGCGGGGAGGGGGCCAAGCTCATAGCTAAGAGCAATGTGTTTTCCCCCTCCTGGCGTTGGCCGAAATGGGGGGTGGCACCGAGGGCCCCAGGTGGTCACCAGACCGACCCACTGCATCGAGCAGGGGGGGAATTCAGACGCGGCGATCGATCGACCAGCGTCGGTGTCACGCACATAAGACGAAGCCAAGACGATTATACATAACATCGGGTGAGGGAATCTCTGAGACCTGGCAGCTCTGGAGGATGTCTTGGGCGCCGCGGCCTTCCGAGAGCGTTGTGCAACTCTCTGAGAGCGATCCGGAACGCTATGGGACGGATTTATCCTCGTCCTTGCCCCGTCTGGGGCAAAAAGAGGGGGAGGAGGAGGTGGAGGAGGAGGGGGAGGACGATGGGGGAGGAGGAGGAGGAGAAGGAGGAGGAGGAGGAGGAGGAAGAGGGAGGAGGAGGAGAAGGAGGAGGAGGAAGAGGAGGAGGACGAGGGGGAGGAGGAGGAGGAGGAGGAGGAGGAGGAGGGAGAGGAGGAGGAGGAGGAGGAGGAGGAGGAGGAGAGGAGGAGGAGGAGGGCCCAAGGAAAGTCCCCCCCCCCAAACGAGCATCTCACTGGCAAGGAGGGGGCAGCCTGGCGAATCCAACGGAGCAGGCTGCGTGCCCGCAGGACGGGGAAACGTGAGCAGGACGCGAGCCTTGGGGACTCGAGCTCGCCTGACGGGAACGTCGGTTGGAGGTTCTCGGGAGTCGGTTTCCCTGTCTCCTCTGCCTCCTCTCCCCAATCCTCCTTGTCGCCCTCGTCCTCCTGGTCCTCCTCCTCCTCCTCCTCCTCCTCCTCTTCCTCCTCCTCTTCCTGCTCCTCGTCCTCCTCCTATTCCTCCTCCTCCCTTTCCTCCTCCTTCCCCTCCTCCTCCTCCTTCTCCTCCTTCTCCTTCTCGTCCCTGCCGTCTCCCACTTCCTTCGTTCCTTCTTGATATCCCTCTACTGTGTGGCAGGTTCGTCCCTTGACGGCTTGCGCGTTGGTTTTGCACCGCGTAGATCCCTCAATATTGAGCGATCGCTGCCTTCCGACATCGCCGATTGTTCGATGTCGACGGGTTGTGGGCCACCGAAGCGCCCGAGCTGGGGTGGCCACCGCGTCAATGCGGCACGAGCCGACCGCTACTTAACCGACCCCCGTCATCTCCAGACGAATGGGACCTCCCCCGCCGCGCCCCCCCAATTGGAGCGCATGGGACCCCGCTCGTCCCATGCGGGCTGCCCTCCACTGCAGTCAGGCAGCCTTCAGGCCTCAGCACCCCGAGAGGGGGGATGGTGCGGGGTCTCGGAGGATATTTAAAACTTTGCAAGTTTTACAATGTTAGAACATCCTTGAAGGTTCTGGGGGTACCGGGCAGAAGGTGAGGAGAATTTGAGGATGAGAAGAGAGGGGGCGGGGGGGGGGAGGAGAAGAGGCGGGGAGGATACTGAGAGGAGGAAAGGAGGAGAGGACGGGGAGGAGGAGACGGAGAAGGAAGAGCATTCTGATTCAGATTCGGAGCCACTGCGAAAAAATGTTCACCAAGTCTACGTCGGGTGAAGTCCCCGTTTGAAGCGGTCGTAAGAACCTCGCTCATTCTTGGTGATTCCCCTGGGACACACGGCTGCAACAAGGAATAAGTCTGCTGCGAGCCTAAAAGACCACAGGAACGACATCTCAAAAAACTTTCACCAGCCAATGGTAAGCCATTGTGTGCGAACCATGGACCCACCCACCCTCGAGGTGCACTCTATCCCCCACGCGCGGCTGGAGCAAGTCAGCATCGATAAAAATGAGCGGGCAATCCGCAGTTAAAGCCAGGCCGTTCGCGCGGCCTTGATCGCGGTGCTGTAGCACCGCGTGCACCGATTGGAGTCGTTGACGGGGTGCCAGGGAGAAAAAAACGTCACCACTGACGGCGCTGGCGGAGGAGGGGGGCGAGGAGGAGGGGGAGCAGAGGCAGCAGCGCCAGCAGCAAAGGCGGCCTGTCTTTCCATCGCCCTTGTCTTTCCGCAGCGAGAGATTTCAATGCAGATCTCAAGAAACGTTTCAGCACCTTGCTTACATTAGCCTGAGCCACAAGTACTTCCGCCCTCCGACTCTGATTCGCCCTAGCTGTTTCAGCGGTCTTGCCAGCCAACTCGTCGACCATGGTACTGCCATAAATCATCCACCGACTGCATTCTTTTGGAAGGGGGGAACAAGGAGGATAGATGCGAAGGCATATGCAAGACGGAGATGGAACTGCAACACCGTTTCTCCCAATGCCTGCCAAGTCCCCTCCATGCGCCAGCGAGAGCTCCACGCGGTTAAGCCCAGCGTTTCTTGCACCAACCACGAACCAATTCCTCGTTGTCCGAAACGCAACCCATGGTCCCCAAGCTGAAACGGATGGCGACTTCGAGAGCCCTCAACTCGCCCCTTGGGGCGTCCTAGGACTTGCCCGCGAGGGGGCCCGTGACAGAAGCTCTGACAAGTTGAGGGGTGGACTGGGAGATTGCGACGACAACCAGCGCAACGCGTCTAAACCGTGGGTCACGGCTGTCAATGGGATGGGCTGCCGTCCCGCGTCCAAGACACCCCGCCGTCAGCGCGTCATCGGCGATGCTACTGACTTGCCGGCGCCCCTGGGAAGCGGGGTTTGGGGGGGCTCGACCTCGGCCCGCGACGACGAGATATGCCCTTAATATTCAAAGCAAGGACAAGCCACCCCCGGGCAGACGGCCTGCATGACTAAATCATTAGAAGACTCACGTCCGTATATATGTATATGAATATATCATGGTTGTTGTTGCGCGGACATCACCAATGCCGACGCCTGAGGGTCACGGGGGCCTCCTTGCACCGAGGGCAAAGGTCGCTCGCGACCTTGCAGGCCGACCTCCCACTTGCGACTCGGGGGCCAGGGGCCCTCCACAGCGATGGAGGGAAGCAAGTCAAAGGTTTGCGCCCGTGTGAGGCATCCTGCAACTGCTGCAGACGGAGGCGCAGGCTGCCGTCGTCAACCCCTCCCCCCATTCCCTCCTCCAGGCAGTGCTGAGAGGCAGCCCGCCATTGAAGTGAGTGGAGAGACTGGAGAGGAAATCGTCCAACAGCCCTTCGGCCTGATCGAGCGCAACGGAATCGGCATCGTGAAAAATCCAATGACAGTCGGGTTCAATGCCATCTGTGCTTGGCCCCTTCCAATGAGTCGGGGAAATGGGGTTCCAACCGAACAACATCAACTGGTGAATCGTGGCCGAGATGGGACCCCGAATGTGCCCGACACGCTGAGCAGGTTCGACAGTCTGCAACTCACGATGAATGATGGGCCAAGCACGACGGATGCCCTCTCGGGACAGGCCCTGGAAGCCACGCGCGCAACCATTGCTTCCAGCACGCGGTGGGCAGCCGCGCGCCAGGGACACTGCCGGGCGCGCGGAAGTCGATCGTCGCGCACTGGCCTGGTTAGCACGCACCTGCGACAGCACCTGAGTTCTTCCTGAGACTGGCAAAGTGGTCACCAAAATCACCGCGCACTTGGGCCTCGTATGTGGCCCTAGACTGAGGGCCCGCAAGTTAAACTTTACTAATAACAGAATACCTTTTGGACGCGCGAGCGAACCTCCTGCGGGTGAGATACTGTCGGGGTGACTTCTTAACACGTTTCCTACTGGTTGCCCTGGAGCGCTTTCTTGCCAGATCCGCGGTC